AATTTTTCGCCTAGCCATAGTGTTTGTTTGTGCAGTCCTTAGATATTACTACGTATTATTGTTTTTATTTTACTTTTTCGTTTTCTATTTTTTTTGTTCTTTCCGCCAAAGTGTTTGTTTTGAACAGTGATCTTGAGATACTCCGTATTATTATGGTAATGTTTCATGGCTCTCAAAAATAAATTGGTGAATCCGAGTATTATTATATGCACATTGGTGAATCGGAGTATTATTATATGAACGGTCCTTAGATATTATATATTTTTGCATATGAACGGAGTATTATTATTGTTTTTCTATTATACTTATTCGTTTCTATTTTTTTGTTCGTTTAAGAAATCTTTGAGCTAAATAAATTTTAACACATATTATTTCTACTTAGCCGATGTAGGCTTTAGCTAACTTTGAATATAATGATCAAGAAAAAATCATTAAAAATGATTACTCTGTAATATTCTTTTGAAAATGATAAAAATTAAATTGAGTTTTAAGAAATGGTAAAATTTCCTTTTTTGACATTTCAATCACTTGTAAGTATGTAAACTAAAGATCCGATTGGTAACACAAAATTGACTGAATCTACCAAAATTGGTAAAATTCAGATTGAAATGATTGAATTAGCTATTTTATCAGAAAAAATACAGAAAATTTTATATGGAATCATGGCTAAAATAGTGATATTCAGCAAAAACAGTAAAAAATAAAAAATAACTTCGATCTTATCAATTCAGGCAGAAAAGTAATTTCAATCTTATTCATTGTGTTACTAATAATTAAGGGCGTCAATATGAAAATTATGTATTTGGTGTATAAAAATTGACAGGTAATTTGATAAGTTGAAAAAGGAGTTATTGTACTGACTCTAAGTACATAACTACTTCCTCCGTCCTCCTAAGTTTGGGACAAAGGGGTGTGGTGTGGTTTTTAAGAAAAAGTAGAATTGTATGGTTGGTATTGAATTGATAAAGTGTGAATAAAGTAAGAATGAATTCTAACCACTTAAATATTACCAAATATGGTATGAGACAAACTTAATGAGACGGACGAAAAAGATAAAACGGGACAAAGTTAGGGGGACGGAGGGAGTGCTTTTTATTGTTCTTAAGTACTCCATTTTAAATTCTTGCAAAAAAAGTACTCATTTTAAATGTATTATCCTACTAGGTATTTTCTAAAAGTTAGTTGAGCTTACAAAAAAGAAAAAGTTAAACAAAGAAGATTTTTTAAAATTTACATTCTAGTTAACAATTTAGTATAATACACATAAAGATTTGTTTTTATAATAAGAAAAGGTCTAGTAATTGAGTGCTTCAAAAAACTAAAACAAAAAAAGAATAAAGAGTAGAAATAATGTGATAGCTTAATTTACCGTATTATTATGGTAATGTTTCATATGCAGGAATTACCCAAATATGTAATAGCCGTTCATATATCAAAGATTCTTTTTTTTTTGAGGGAATTCATATATCAAAGATTGATAATTATTAATGCTTGGTCAAAGCATAATATTTTCATTTCCTGCCGTACATTTATTACATTTAATTACCAAATTTAGTTGTTTCATTAATTCCCTATTATGCCCTTATTTTGGGCGGGATTTTTTCCCCCAATTGTTGCATATACTTTGCTTCTTTATATAAATAAATATTATATAAAGATGACTTAAGTCACTAATTGGTGGTTTATGTCCACTTCCGAGATATTTGTTGTCCTAAATTGGGTTGTGAATATTTAGTCATTGAAAAGCTTATCCATTTGCATCTCAGATAAGGTTTCTCCACTTTTAGTGCTACTCTCAAGTGTTCTAATTGACTGTTTGACAGTATTGATTCCGATCTCAATAAAAAATGATCCTCCCATACAAAATGTGAATAACTTCACTTTTGATCATTTAAGTCCACTTTTCAATTTAGATTATTTTCTTCATCCACTTTTGGTTATCTACAAAATGGGAATAATTTCAGATCATTCATGTGCACTTTTACATTCATATTATTTTTGTCATCCACTTTTACTCATGTACAAAATGCGAATAACTTCACTTTTGATCATTCAATACACTATTACATACTAGTTGTGAACTTTTGCAATGAAAAAAACTCCTATTTAATTATTTGTGAAATTGCAACCGCATTTTCATTCAATTTAATTAATTTTTTTTACATATTTAATTTAGAGCTATTAGATCATAAATTGACTTCTTGATAAGTCCATATTTCAACACGCATTTTATGCTTGTTGGGATTTATTATGGTCAAGTTTTCTACCTTAAATGTGTCACAAAGCGCCTAATTAAATCAATTCATAGTTTACTAGCTTTTGATTTGCAATTGGTGTTTTTAGAGTTAAAATCAAGAAATTGAACCCAACACCGGCGTTGGAGAATTATTCGAGACAATTTGAGACACATTTTTGAGTTGTTGAGATGTATTGAAGGTCTATGAGGCATTAAAGGAATGATTTTGAAGTTAAGGGAGCTCAAGAATCAAGTACGGAAATAAATGTGGACTGAAGGAACATGAAAAATGGTTACTTGGATCACCACCCAACTAGCAACCTTGAATCAGGATGATACGTTGTCAATCATTTGAGCATATCTTTACTTAGAAATATCCAAATGAACCGATTCAAGTTTCATATGAAAGATAACTCCATGGGATACAAATCATATGAAGACATCATGACCATCGAGAATGTGAGAGAATCAAGGTGAAACAGACGAGGAAGTCAGATAATCGTGATTGAGATTTCAGGATGTACCTTCCACCATTTTAATCCATATCTTTTTATTGGATGACCCAATTCCAAATTTTCAAGTTGTGGTGGATACAGGAATTTATTAGCTACAACTTTGATGACAGGCATAGCCAAATTTGGATGGGAGGTTGCACGTTGTGCACACGTAATGCTACTCTTTGGCAGGTGCGTACATATGTGCGCATGGCGTGCGCGCGACTGAGAACGACCATAATTCTCTCCAAAAAGCCCAATTTCTTCCCTTTTTCACTATGTTCTATTAAACAACCTGTAAGCCCCACTTTTAGGGTAGTCGCGGATTTAGCCTTTATGTTTTGGGTGTTCCTATTCACAAGTGAATTAAAAATAAAATGGAATACTCATATGGGTGGAGGACCGAAGACACCGAACTACAATTCTCACAGTAAAGCACTTAATTATAAGGCAGTCAGCTACCCAGTGGAGGGACGAACGAGTTCACGTGGCTTGCTTTTGAATATTTTTCTAAACACATACCAAATGACGACGTTTTGGTATTAAAAATTGATTTTTTAGGTGTTCACAAGAACACTCTTGAACAACACCAGCCCCGCCCATGTTTAGGGGTAGAGTTTAGAGACAAGCTTATATGGATGAATTTCCTAAGATTTTTAGGGGGTGTTTGGTTAGGAGCCTATCAGCCATTTTTTTGGCTGATTTGGCCATACTTCCCCTTTTGACCAGATCAATCAGCTAATAAAAGTGTTTGGTTAAATGGCTTTTTCAATTAGCCTTTTGTTCCAAAAAGCCAAAAAATGAAACGCCATTTACCGCAGCCTTTAGAATTAGCCGTTTCGTATCTTTCCTTTACTACCCATGTCTCTTCCGCGTATCCCCCTACTTGCAGAAAACATTTCCACCAAAGAGCAAAAAAACAATTCACGTAGGGAGCAAGTGGCCTTCTCCAATAAATAGCTATCTGATTCACCTCAAAAAAAATTGCGCTATGGATATTTGTTTGGAGAGGGATTTTGACTGGGGTTACTTCCTCTCTGTCGTGTTTCTCAGCCAACGATCATCTCATAAAAAAATATCTGAGGAATGAATTATTTATCAATTAAAGAAATGGGATTTCGACTAGGATTGCCTGCTCCGTCGTGGAATCTCATAAAAATGTCGTTTTCATCCATTCCCATTTCCCATACTTTTTTATGGGGAAATGGGAATTGATTATGAATTATAAAAGTAGAGATTTATATTAATTATTTGTGTTAATACATTTAACGTTTTAATCATAAAAACGATAAAAAAGATTTATGTAATTTACTAATATCATTAATAATAAAATTAATTGATGTCCTTAAAAGTCATTTAATAAGTTATCAGCTGAATATAAACAACCATTGAACTAAACACCGATTTACAAACTGCTAATACTATCAGCTAATTAAAACAGCCAACACAATCCGATGTCATCAATCAGCTAAAACAATCGGCCAACAGCTAACAGCTAACAGCCGATTGCCAAACACCCCCATTAATCATGATCTAAGGATTGCATAATTATTGTTTAATTTATGTGTGCATAATTTAATTATTATCTGATGTAACCTGGAATGACCACTACGATTATATTATAATTGCACATAGAATAATTTAAGAGAGATCTAAATTGTTCTATGACACCTTCACACACACACATCATCATTCGCTAAGAGATTAGCACGATTAGGAAGCCGTACGCTCATTCGTTTTGCAATAGTTCAAGAACTTGTCCCATAAGAGACCGGTGTAGTTCTCTAAATTATTATACTCTACGCTGCGAGAGCGGTAAGAACTTATATTGACATGTGTTGCCCGAAATTTGATAGCCCCAGAATCATGGGCGGGCCGTAGTAGAGGCCCAAGGAATATTATTTCCGCCCCCCAAAAAATATTGTGAACCCTCTCAAGATAAATTTCCTGAGTCCGCCCCTGCCCAGAATCAACCCATGTTCCCTACCTGTCATTAATTCGAAAGAGCCTTTTAATTTAGTTTATTTTCTTCACATTGTTATTTCCAAAAATCCATCTCGCACATTCGCAATCATTGATCCAGGCCGTTCGACGATCCAGCATTCTCTGTCCGATTTGATTGATGACCCGACAATCCATGTCCCGGACTGGTCCCCGTTTTTTTAAATCACTTTTGAAATCTTAAAAAAATACCACTATAACTTCATACAATACACCCCTACAGTATTGAGAATATTGAGTGACTTATTACACCAACGATAACAAAAAAAAAAAAAAATTGTGACGGACATTGTATGGACTTGGCATCCGCTCTATAAATAGGCAAATGGGGTGGTCGTGTGATTATATCATATCCACAAAACCTGAGATCCAATCCACTGACTTTAAAGCTGAATTAAGTCTATCGTGAACAAAATGGGGAAGTACAATATATCTATTCCTAGCTCAAAATCACTACTAGTGTGTGTATTGTTCGTGTGCTTATCGCTCTCCCAGGCGGCAGCAGGCATGAATGATGATCACTTTGTTAAGACTCCAAATGACGGCGATGAAAACATTCATCAGCAGGATAACCTCGAGGGTTTCGACCCCTCCAAGATTGTTGAAGAATATAAAACAAGGTTGTCGTCGCCGTCCCTCCTGCACCAATCGGGTGGCATATATTATCCCAATAGAGGTGCCCCGAGTGGACCAGATCCTCAACATCATGGGCGTCCGCCCACCGCCGCCCCCCGGGGAGCACAAACTCATCAGCCCGATGCCATGATTGAGGTAAAGAAACCGCTCAAAATAAGAGTAAAATTTGGAGATATTTCAGAAAATAAGGCTAATATGTTTTATTCTCCGAAATAGCCTTATTTAGTCCTATCACACAAATTAGCGAGAAGAATTTGAGACAATTTTCTAGGAGTAAACATTATTTTCCTCTAATAAGAGTGTCATTATATTATTTTCTTCTCAAAACTGGTCTCATTAAGTCTCATTTTGTTTTTAATAGGAGAACTTAAGTCTTGCTTTGTATAAAAATCTTTATCCTACTTTCAAACTGTGTTTATCCATTTTACTCATATTTTGTGCAATTTCTTCGATCAAAAATTTACAAAAATAAGACTAAGTGAATCTTATTTTGATAATAAAATAACGGCTACTAGCCCTAAATAGGAGTAAAAGTAGCTCAAAATTCCACATTAGGACTATACTCCTTTTATTCTAAAAATATATGGGACTAATACATGTCTCTTCTTCCTATTCTATCCCGAAACTATAATTTCTAATAGATTTACTTATTAATAAAAAATAGTTTTATTTGTAATAAAAACATAAAAAATCTTAAAATATTTATAAATTAATAGAAAATAGGGAATATATAGATATAATTAAAAAATTAAAAAAAAAAATTTAAAAACTTTAAAAAAACCTAAATAAAATAAAATAAAATACCTAAAAAAATATTAAATAAAAAATATGTAGGCCACCACCTCCGCATCGCTGAAAAAATGTCCTCTTGTGTAAAAATGCCACCTTTATCTGAAGATGATTTGAAGATGACATTTTTACTCTTTGAAAATATCAAGCTTTCTTTTCAAAATCGCCATCACGAAGACATTTTATCTCAACTTGGAAATCTTTTCCGACGATCGGAGGTGGCGGTGCTGGAAGGTGGCTGAGGGAGGTAGTGGTTGATATCTGTATATTTTTTATTTAATTTTTATGATTTCTATTTCTTATTTTTTTTTTACTTTTTATAATGATTGTTTTAAAAATCCTATTAGGAAGGACAAGAGAAAGGGTAGAATAGGAAAAGTTAGTCCTGTTTTAAGAATTTAAACTTCAAACTCCTATTATTGTAATTATCCTTTAATTTAGTCCTTTTTGGAGAAATTTCCCATAAAATAATGATATTATTATTAGACAAAAGTTTCTCATGTTTAGAGAATTTTCTCACGCTTAATTACATGTATGTGACATGATGACTATTGTATGTATATATACTTTTTTCAGATTGATATGAAGGTATCTAGCAGTGGAAATAAATGCATAATAACCGGAGTGCGTACTGCTGGCCTTTGAAGTGGCTCATGATGAATAAGATCACTTAGCAGCTAGCTAGCTGATATGCTAGCCAGAGCTACTATATGTATATGTGTGGTATACAAATAATATGGGACAAGCATATATAGATGCATGTGCCGTTTTTATAATACTGTAATAATTAGCTATCTCTCTGGCTTGCTGCTCCCTAGTCACAACGTACGTGAATGTATATGTGTGTTATGCTTATACATAGTTTACATGCTCCTCTGATTCACAATCAAAGTCGCACTTTGCTTTTTTTTTATGTTTCAAAAACAAAGTTGTTGAGAGGATCGATTCTTTTCGACTCAGATCTCCAACCCTTATGCTATACTCACACACACCATTCTAGACTAGATCACAACGCAACTCACCATGTTTTATCTCCTACCACTAAGTACCTCTCTCACACTCTCACACAAAGGAAATGGAGAAGAAGAGGGTGAGCAATACTCTGGGAAATCTCTCGCAGGCTGCCCTCTCAAGAAAGAAGAGGGCTACATAAATAATAGGTTGGTCAACAAAAGAACACTCACGGGTGATGCAAAGACAAGGGAAGGACTGCAATAGACAGCTCAATGGTGGGGTCACTCCACATAAGACAATAGCCATATTATTGGTTAGGAAAGATTCAAACAAGGGATCGAATTGGGAGTAAACATGGGGTGCAAGTCAATAATAAAGTGGAAGGGAGGCCTTGGTAGGACCAATACCTTCAACATTCTCCACCTTATTGGTCCTAGTGGTGGACTCGGGCCGGGCGGCCCGGCCCGGAACCGGCCCGGCCCGGTTACTGTTTGGCCCGGCCCGGCCCGGGGCCCGGTGGGTCCACCGGTTCGGTTCGGCCCGGCCCGGCTGCTGGACGGTTCGGGCTCGGGCCCTGTTTTTGGTGAACCGGCCCGGCCGGTTCGGGCCCGGTTCGGGCCGGTTTTTAATTTTTTTTTTTTTTGAATTTTTTTTAAGTTTTGGGTTGGATTAGGTATTTTGGGCCATTTGAGGTGGTTGGGGGTTGAGGGGGAGGGGTTGGGGGTTAAATAGAAGAGCCAAAAAAAAAAATTATAACCGGTTTGGCCCGGCCCGGCCCGGCCCGGTTTGGCCCGGAACCGGAACCGGAACCGGAACCGCCCACCGGCGGTTCGGGCTCGGGCCCAACTTTCCTGGCCCGAGGCCCGACCGGGCCCAGGCCCGAACCGGGCCCGAACCGGCCCGAGTCCCGGCCGGGCCCAGGCCCGAACCGGGCCCGAACCGGCCCGAGTCCACCACTAATTGGTCCTAAGTGGTGTAGAGTAACTGTATAAGGTTGTGAGGACCAATAGGTCCTCGAGTTCAGAACCAAAACCATCACAAAATTATTAACAAGCACAACACATGTTAAGAGACCACGCAAGCAAGCGTTCGGGAGAAGTTGGGGATTCCAACTAATCCAACACCCACACAAAGCAAGTACACACAAAATAAAAGAAAGGTGCAAATAGGCCCATGTACTAACCAAAAAAGATCAAATAAGCCCTTATTTAGGAGACTTTGTCCGGCCGTCGCCATTTGGGGTGGTTCCCGGTGGAATTTTTTGATGAAATGTTTTGAGCATCTTATTCATTAAGTCTAGTTTACTCATACCAAATTTCAGCTAAAACTTCAATCGGGAAGGCATTCAAATGAATTCTTGAAAATAAATGCGCAGTTAGAAGCGCAGTTATCTTCAAGAATTAATTTGAATGCCTTCCCGATTGAGGTTTTAGCTGAAATTTGGTATGAGTAAACTAGACTTGATGAATAAGATGCTCAAAAAAATTCATCAAAAAATTCCACCGGGAACCACCCCAAATGACGACGGCCGGACAGAATCTCCTAAATAAGGACTTATTTGACCTTTTTTAGTAAGTACATGGGCCTATTTGCACCTTTTCCCTAAAAGAAACAATAGTATTTCTATAACTAGCACAGGTAGAGCTCACATAATTACTTGGTATCACATTTTCAAAACACAAAGAAAATAGCATACCAAATATCACAAAGAATTTAATTAAAAGAGAATTAAGCACATTTAAAGCAAACTCAGAGGAAATATAGTCAAATACTTTGCACTTATTATTTCTCTCATGCTCTCTAATGTCTCTATCTCTAATAACATGACAATCACGCAACTCAAGCATATTGCACAAAACATTCATATCATGCTCCACCTTAATAGAAATATCATTTTCTTTATTTTCAACATGAAAATCATTTTCATCCACAAATTTGGGTTCAGTTTCAACAAGTAAATCAGAATGAACATCAGGCAAATGAACCTAAGAAAACAAGCAAGCAAGTTTCACTTTCAACAAAAATGACATTTCTACTCATCAACACATTGAAGCAAGTTTCACTCCTACACCAAAGCCTATAACCTTTCATGCATTCATGATATCCTAAGAAAATAAATTCCTTAGTCCTAGGTTCAGATTCATCATTCTCACGATTCACATAAGCAGCACAACCAAACAGTGGCGGAACCAGACTAGTTTTTGAAGGGGGGCGATAAAAGATGTCAAGATCGGGTTGGGACAAAACTCAAGAGAGTAAGATTAGTTGAGTCGAAGTTATTGATAATTTACATACAAAATTTTAGGGGAAATTCGTCACAAAATAAGAGTAAAAATGTTTGAAAATTTCAAAAACTGACTATCATATATTTATTTCCCAAATATGAATAATTAATGCCAAGTTTCAAAAATTCTGTTATGTTTAAAATCTAATACTACCATAATATGACAATAATTATTTCTATTTAAGAAATAAAGATATGAAAGTTCTCTTTTGAAATGCAGAAACATTTCTACTCCTCGTGGCTATTTCTTTCAATCTTATACAAATATAACTATTACTACGTATATTTTTAGTGTCATAATTTGGTTATTACATTTCTTTCAATCTCTTTTGAATGTAATTTGGTCATAATTAGTTACAAATACCACCGTGAGTCCAACTATATAACTAATAATTAATGACAATAAATACGAAGTAATAATTAGAATATTCTCCAATAGTCATTCTGCCATGACTGCCATCCGAGATCCGAGTGCTTTGCATCCTTACAAAATCGAGACTGAATTGAAACTGTAAAGTGTAAACCCGTGCAAACTTATTACTATATAAAATACGGAGTAATAACTTAATAGCATGCGACGTCGTTTCTTTTTTCTTTAAGTTACACACCGAACGTCGTCGTTGCAATAAGCCTAAAATGATTGCTTAGCATCTTTGACGATTGAACAGAGCAAGACGAAGGTATCAGACTACCAGCTATGAGGGTTCAGCTATGAGCTATGGAAACAAAAAGAAAAGGGGAGACGAGGGGAGATCCAGGGACGGCGGGAAAATATAGCCTAATACTACCTTAAAACTTCCGGCGAAGGAGGGGCGGCGGCACCGGCTCGCCCCGGCCTGGTTCCGCCACTGCAACCAAACACTCTCAAATTTGGCAAGTTAAGTGGTTCGCTCGTGAACACAGATTCAGGGCATTTCCACCTAAGGGAACAGACGGGGACAGATTAACCAAATCAACAACATAACAAATAGGTTCCCCCGGAACTTATTATAGAGCCCAGATGAAGCTAACATAGCCCTCACCCTCTCTAATGAAGTTATAACCATCATCTCAGCAACCCCATCCGGTTGGAGTGTGGAGGGAACAAATTTATGCATAGAAGTACTCCAAGTATCACATAAATCACCAAGCTGGTCATCACAGAAATCAAAACTGACAGTGATCCTTAAAAAATTTATTTTCTTACCGGTTTGATTTTCAACAAGGGTTTTCCAGTTTTTAAACTTATCAAAAACTTCAGATTTATTTTCAATCAACAAAACCCACACTTTCTTTGAAAAATCATCAATCAACATCAGAAAATAATTTTTCCCACCATGAGTGGAAACACTATAAGGACCCCACAAATCAGCATGAATACAATCAAGTACATCAGTACACTTAGGCAGATCAGGAAAACTAACTCTAGACTATTTTCCTAGCACACAGGGTTGCACACAATTCACAGAATCAAGAACAGGTTCAGCATGACAAACATACAAGTTGTTTTTCATCTCAGCTTTGAAACAACTAAACAACCCTTCGCAACTTTTATGTTATTCTTTCCCCATTTTCCCTTCAAACCCTCATTTTCAAGAGAAGCACAAGATAACAAATTACAGCACAGCTCAGGAACATGCCGAACATTCTTCAAAGTAAGCACATAACGAGAGGAGAACCTAAGGCATATATCTCATATTCCTAACACATTGCATTTCTTCTCATTTGCTAAAGACACAAAGCCATGCTCAATTTCTCTATAGTTTGAAAAAAACATTTTTCAAAGGGGACATATGAAAAGTACAACCATAATCTACCACCCAATCTGATTTACCCAAAGAATCAGATATCACAGAACTCAAGTAATCATAATCACATAGATTTCTCATCATAAAAACATCACCTAAATCGTCTACACACGTAGTCAAATTAGCATGCTCATTGTGCTTATTTTCCCTAGATTTAGGACAGTCTTTTATGAAATGACCAGGTTCATGACAATAATAGCAACACCTCAAATTAGACCTAGACTTATATCTATGTCGTCTACTATTATTTTCTCTACCCCTCACATGCATAACCTCCTCGGATTTTCTACTCTCACCCGTCTGTTTTAAATCTAATTCCTTACTCTTAAGACCATTTACCACAATGTCATGAGTCACATTATCTCTACCATACTTAATAGCAGATTTCACATCACTAAAGGAATCAGGAATAGCATTTAAAAGAGCAATAGGGGAATAATCATGTATATGCTTATCACCACACAACTTAATATTAGAAATAAGTTTGGTAAAGACATCTAGATTTTCCTCAATATCCCTAGACATATCTAGTCTAAATTTGAAAAACTTTTCAAGTAAAAACATCTGGTTAGGCAAAGAGGTTTCTGTATCCAGCTCATCTAATTATTATTAGTAGTTATAAGTATTATATTATTAGTTGTTATTAGTTTTTATAATAATATTACTTATTATTATTGTGATTATTATTATTACAGAGTATTATTATTATAAGAATAAGAATAATAATAATAAATATAAAAAAAATTATATTTGTATGACAAATAAATGTTATTAACAAAAGTATGACCTAATCGTAATGATTATAATAATAACTTAATGACAACTTTTCATGTCAGGCCGGCCTGACGGGCTGCCCCGTCCGACCGAGCCCGTTTGGGCACC